CATCTAATTAAGCTATTTTTGTAAGTTTGAATTTTTAAAATATCAATCATCTTTAAAATGAAGCATGTCTTTATTTAATTGGATTGAGGAAAATAAAGCCAAGATCACATATGTGTATATGGTTTTTTTTTTAGAATAAATTTGAACCAGTGACATTCAATTTTTATAGTATTTATTACATGCTGAGTTCTGTGTTGGATGCTAAAGAGAAGTAAATGATCTCTGACATTCTCAGATCTCTGTCTTCAAGAAACATTCACTGGATTGTGCACTCCTAAAGTTGTTGTCCCATAGTTCTCCTTTTTTTTTCTTCAGCTAGATTCCAAGAAAAAGTATGTATTTGTTGCTTCCACTTTCTCACCTCACTTTGTAAAATCTTGAAGTCTGGTATCTGTTCCTGTGCTGGACTGAATTTGCTCTCTCTAAGGTCATTAATGATCTCTTTACTACTAAATCCAGTGGCCTTTTCTCAGTCTTAACCTTTCGTGATGACTCTGAAGTATTTGACATTGTTAACCATGTCCTTTTGTGGATACTATCTTTTGTTGTTGAGTCGTTTTTCCATCGTGTCTGACTCTGTGACTTCATTTGGGGTTTTCTTGGCAAAGATATGGAGTGATTTGCCATTTCCTTCTCCAGCCTGTTCCTAAATGGTTTTACTTTTTAAAAATCATATCATTCTCAAGTCTATCCCCAATTTTTTTTTTTATGAACTACCCAAATACTAGTGACAGTGTTAGATATACGTTATACATGTCCTCCTACAAAAGGTAAACATTCTGTCCTTATTAAGTCCCTTGCAATTAGTCTTTGATATGTAGCTTATGTTTCTTTTGATTCTTTTATTTCAAATCTTCTATTAAGTCCAGTTTTTTTTAACAAAATCCTGAAAGTCTGACAATTCATTAAATGTCCATTTTTTTTCTTATTCAGGATTATGCTTAACTTTGTGGGGTATAATATTTTTGGCCACAACTCCTGTTCTTTTGCTTTTCAATATATAGTGCTCCAAGACCTGCAGTCTTTTAGTGTCACTGCTGCTAAATCTTGTGTAATTCTAATGGTTATACCACCATATTTAAATTATTTTTTCTTGTTGCTCATAATACTTTATCCTGGAGCTGGGGGTTTCAGAATTTGGGTAAGATATTCCTATAGGTTTTCCTCATAGAATCTTTTTCAGGTAGTGATTGGTGAATTTTCTTTGCTTCTACTTTTCCCCTCTTGTTCTAATGCTTCAGGACAATTTTCTTTGATTATTTGTATCAAGATTCTTTTTTTGATCATAGCTTTCAGGTAGTCCAATTGTTCTTATGTTTTCTCTTCTTAATCTGCTCTCCAGATCAGTTGTTTTTCTTATGTTTCACATCCTCTTCTATTTTTTTTTTCATTCTTTATATTTTGTTTTATTATTTCTTGGTCTTTTATAACTTTGCTGGCTTCCTCGTACCTAATTCTAATTTTCAAGGAGTCATTATCTTCCTTAAGATTCTGGATTTCCTTTTCTAATTGGTTGACTTTGTTTTTATAATGTTCTTTCTTGGATTGTTATTATTTAAAATTGTTTCCCCCAATTTCTCTCACTTGATTTTAAAGTCTTTTTTAAAATTCTTCTATGAAATTCTTTTTGGGCAGGTGACCATTTGATGTTACTCTTTGGGGTAGGAGAGGCTTTTTTGGCTTCAATATCCTCCTCTGAAGACAAACCCCAGTCTTTTCTATTCCCATAGTAACTTTCTGTGGTTGGATTCTTTCTCCTTTGCCTGCTCATTTGTTGTTGTTGTGTTTTTTTTTTTTTTAACTTGGAGCAGCTTATTTTTTGTAATCACCTCTAGTCCTGGGATATGGGGGGTGGTGCCTCTAGTCTCAGATCCTCCTTCAATTCTTCACTATGGCCTGGAACCAAAACTGCCATCCTGTAAGTCCCCAAAGTCAATGGTGTCCCTGCCCCATTGCTTTTGCACTCACTGGGTATGTGCTGGTTCCTTCTTGCCCAGGGCTGTGTCTGGGTAACCAAGCTGAGCTTGGTGTCCCTTATCAGCAGAGGCTCCCTTAATCTTCCCTGGCTCAGATACCGGACTCCAGATACTGTCCTGGAAGTGAAAGTTCCTGTGGCTGAGGCCAAGGTTACCTCCCAGCCCAGCTAGCCCCAAGGCTTGCCACTTGCTATTTCAAAGGAGACAGCCTGGATGTCTTTACTCTTTACTGGGACCAAACCTGGGTCCTGGGATTTTTCTTCTGATCTTCTGTGATTGCCCAAGAAGACCACTGTTCTGCCCCAACTCTTGTTTATCTTTAGCACTCCATGTTTGCCCTGAGGCATTATTTTATATTTGTGGGGAAAATCTGGAGGGCTTGGAATTTTCTGATCTACTCCACCATCTTCACAGAATCTTCCCTCTATAAACTCTAAGTATACTAGTGGAATGTGAACTGTTATTTTTAGATAGAGGGGACACTTAGGGCAAATTTAAGAAATTTGAGTAATATTGAAAGGAGTAAGTGAAATGAATGGCAAAGGGGGTTAGGAATACCAGAAAGCAACAGTATTTTTTTTTCAGATATCACCGTCATTATCTACATGACCTATGAGATGTCATTTCCTTTCTTTGTACTTTATTTTTCTCATCTCTAAAATAAAGGCATCTAATAAAAGGAACATACTGAAGCCAGTAGCTAAAGAGAGCTTTGTGGATTATCCATTAATTTAACTTAGCTATAGTTTTCCAACTTCCTTTACTGTCACTAATCAGGACATCTGTGGTTAGGGCTAATACTCTGTAACTATTAATTGAGGCTATGCCTAAACTTTTCATAACAATCTGGAATTGTAGAAAAATACATTTTATATAAACATAAAACACTAGTGCACAATGCATGCATGCATATATGTATATACACATATGTATATACTTATGGGTATAGACACAGTGTACATGTATATATACACATATACATGTATACACATATGTATATGCTTATGGGTATAGATACAATATGTATGTATATACTTGTGTGTATATGTATATGTCTGTATATGTACACACATGTTGTATATATGCTCTGACTTTTTTTCCTCAGAGGCAGGCAGGCTACATCTCTCCCTCAGCTTTCTAGGGCATGCTGAAGGATTGGGATGTCTCTTTTTTCTACCACCATCAGCTCAAGTCCTCACTGGCTAGCTGTCCTCTTTTCTCCTTCCCATTGTTGGACCTAGCTAATATCACCCTGGTTCAATTTCACATCTAACATGTGGTAGTTTTTACAAAGGGGTATTTACTTTAAATATATAGCGAGAACAAACTACAGACATTTCCCTCCCTGATACCTTGAGGGGCATGCTTTCCTTTGTACCATCTTGTTTTTTGGAGGAGGGAGTTGGCTCAAAGTTTAACTCAGTTTCTACATATCATTAGACCCACCAATTTCAAATCCCAGTGTAGCATGACTACAGGGTGATTCTTCCTCTCACCTTCCACTTGCCTGGGATCCCATTGATCACTCTTTGCTCCTTGGGGCATTAGTACTGCACAATACTGATATATGTTGTGAACCAATGTGAACCCTGGTATGCTGAGGGACCCTCTGGAACTTTTGAACTCACACAGTCTCAGAAACCACTCACTTAATCTAGAATGCAAAAGAAGAAAATCAAAGGTCAAGGTCTAAGGCCCTTTCACTGAGCCATCTGGCCTTGGGGGAAGAAGTCTCCAAGACCTTTTCCCTAACAATACCGTCTCTCACTGGACATAATGAGCAAAAGAATCAATGAGATTCCCCCAAGAGCAAATGAGTCAAGAAAGGAAGTGGCTGGTGCCAATAACCACTTTGAATGCCTCCCTCACCCAATCAAAGAACCACCTATATCAGCACAGGGTTAAAATGATCCAGAACTAGTTACAGAGTGTTTCCCATGCTTCACAGTCTCTCCAAGACACTTGCATTACACATCATCACATTCCTCCTGGAAGAAGTCTTCTTAGCCTCTCCATGTGGAGAGACACCACCCCAAGTGTTCTGTTATGGGCACCAGGTAGATATTGTACATATATGCAAATAGACACATATGTATAAGCACAACTTTCCATTTTTCTTTACATTGTACATACACAAACACATGTACACATAGATATCTTCCACAAAACAAATTTTATTATTTACATGTGTCTGTATATATCTCTATCCATATATCTATATAGATACACTATCACTGTCTATATAAATATGTATATATGAGCCATATGGACACATACCTTTATATTCTTTATGTGTGCATGCATATAAAGAAAAAATTCAAATCCATTTTGTAGTATGATAGTTCTCTTTATGTAAAACAATTTAAAGTATATGAAAGTATATATAAAGTATATTTGTCTTATACCACATTTGTGTGAGGTAAATCGTGCAAATATACACATATTTCACATATGTACACATAAGTATACATATACATACACATCTGTATATATATGATTGACATATAGGGACTATTTCTCTTATAGAGAGATTTTGGAAGGTGAAAGTTAGAATATGGTACCTAAAAGTTATGCAGTACTTATGAAAAAATGTAAAAGAAACATAAAATAACAGATAAATTTACCTTAGCTATGGATACTAGATTTTCATTGCTGTTATTTATTTATACTTCATACTTTATGTTATATTATATATATTTTTATTGTATTATCATAAATAATAATAAATATTAATTATTATTGAATATCGAATAAATAAATTACATCTATTTCAATAATTATAATTTTATAATTAATTCATAATAAATAATTGAATAATTTTAAAATTAAATTTATATTTATTAAATTTATAAAATATAAGATAAATTAAATAAATTAAATAAAAATTAAATAAATATTAAATAATATTGAAAATAAATAAATAATAAATGTTATTATGTATTTTATATTATATATATTATGTATTTATTTATAACAGTGAATTCTGTTAACCTAGGATTTCTGTGTGTGTATTTTTTTTTTAAGGGAAGTGAGAAAAAGAGCTGATGATGTCGACAGTAAATCAATTACCAACTTGACTGGGACAGGGTCAAAAAAGTCAGCACAGATGAAGAACTGCTGTAATGGTTAAATCAGAAACTTTTGGACCTAAGAAATCTTATTTTTCAACATCATTATTATCATGAGTAATGGCATGGCATATACCAGTGACTGCTAGAATGTGGACAGTTATATAACATGGGTCATCTATACCATGGTTTATTTCATCTTATTGTGGAGCCTCTATGCAATCTCCCCTTCTTTTCCATGTGATTATGGGAGTTCATAAATAGGGTTTGTTTTTTGTTTTTGTTTTGTTTTGTTTTTTGGCCATCAGAGACATTTTGTTCAAGTTCCAATAAAATTTTACTGATAAACTGATTTTCAAAAACTCTTAAGTAACCTTACTCTCATATCAGAACTAGCAAAGAAGCTCTGATTTAAAGATTTATGTGATAAATTACTTTCCCATTACCTCCAAAAATATTTATTTGACTTATGTAAATAGTTGGTGTAGTGGAAATAACCCTGGTCTGGGATCAGAGTTATGATCCCGCCAATACCCTTAAGCCACCTAGCTGTTACTTAATGTGTTGGTGCCTCAGTTTCCTCATGTATTTAAAAAAAATGAGAGTGTTGGCCTAAATAATCTTTGAAGTCCTAGCCAGCTCTACGTGCCTATGACTTCATGGTTTGAAGTACAGAATGATTTATCATGCCTATATCCTTTAGGAAGAATATAGCTTCTAGCCACGAAGGTTCCAGCAATTCATTATTTTGATACAGCAAGAGCATTATTTCTCTCACTGTTAAAAATAAAGAGAAATGTTTATTAAAAGTTAAAAGTGATTGATATATTATGTCTCAGGCTATGCTATTAATTGAAAAATCAATCTTTTAAAAAAAGTAATGGATTTTTAAAAAAGAAAACATTTTGATTCATGGGAACTATTTCTGTAGAGGAAGAAAAAATTATCTTGCTATACTAGAATATACTATGTGTAGTAAGTTAAAATCTTAGATTTTAATAGAAAATATTACAAACTACAAACTTCTAAACAAAAAAGGTATGATTTGCTGGACATATCACTCTGTACTTTTTTTTAAATTGAAAAAAGTTTTTTGGAAAAAAATTTTGTATTGGTAGATTGAACTTGTACTATGTTTATTAGAAACTTTCAATATTTTCATAAGAATCCCTCATGAAAACTTAAGTATTTCAATTTTAGTATTATTTGCATTAACCATATTAAATAGGACAGATATTTAAAACTACTATCTATATTTTTTCAGGGTTTTAAAATTGGTTCATAATGGCACATCTTATTTTAAAATACAGAGAGGAGGTTATAAAAAATCTTTCTGGAGTTATATATATGAATTATAAATAGTCATTCTCATTCCCACTCCAGAACACCATCAAGAGCACATGTCCTCTCTTTAGAAATGAGTATGGCCTTCTGGTTTCTTTGATGTCTATGAGATAAAATAGGACAACTCTCAATATGGTAGCCAAGGTGTTTGTGTCGTAGACAAAATGCATCCCATCTTATGGTAAATGAGGTTGAGTAAGATAATTTCAGCATTTTTTTTGCAATTTATTTGAAAAACCCTCACATGTATTAGACTTGGCTGTCTATAGGTTTCAGAGGGAAACTAGGAAAACTAGGAAACTAGGAAAAAAGGAAACTAACATTTCAGTTACTTGCTACATAGAGCTGAACCATCGATTCACCAGACGGAATCTTGCTCAACTTGACCTACGGTTCAAGTTCAAGGTTTGTTGATGAAATTAACAGAAAACTGTTATTAGTAACAAGAAATTTAGTATGCTAACTAAAAAAAAAGTTCATAATAAGCTCTGATTTAACTCTGAGGCAGCACAATATTGTGTTTATTTTTAATTTTAGTGTACTCTTAAAGATTTAGTTCTTTAAAGGTGAGTCTACTCTTGAAAATGGTGCACCAGCATAAAAACGAAGTTTTGGTCAAATAAAATGTCTTGTCTGTGCCATATTGTCTTTAATTTATGTATAAATGTCTTAGTTCTTTTTTATTTTAATTTTCAATGGCCTAGTGAAGCAAAGATGTTGCTGCTATCCTTTGGCCCCCTAATGATATGACTTACTTGTGTCTGACAATGTTAAACTACTGATGGAATGCAGCTGATGTAAATATCATGTGTTAGGACTTTTGTGTACCTATTGGGATGTTCATCATACCTGAAAGCTATGTAATGTAGTACACCTCATTTTATGGCACCTATTTATTTCCAAGGGAATGTGTCTTCATACTTGTCTGATAGTGTGTAAATAAGATTATGTATATTAGAAAGAAGTATTATTTTGCTCCATTGTTGTTTGTAAAGTCAGCTTACCCATTCATTATTAGCAAAAATAAAATATGGCTGCAGGGCTAAATGAACAACTTGATTAAATGTGGAGTTAGTGAAAATTTCTAATGATGTGATCAGAATGTGAAACTTAACATCTAGAGGTTAATTTTGTTGAAATAAGACAAACCTACCCCTATCTCCACTAAGATGGAAATCAGCATCAGGATGTAGACTTGACCAGAAGTAGATTAACTTAACAAAATTGTTTTTACATCTAAAGACATATTTGTTTACTGCTTTAAAATCAGGTAGAAGATTGCACTTAATCAATTCTTTCTTATTTCCTTAGTTCTCTTTGTAAGCACATACCTGGCCCTATTTATTTCACATAGATGTTATATCCTTTCTTAAAATCATGAACTCTGGCAATTTGAGTGGTATTTTAATTTCGTTCTGGAAAATGTCTTTAATAAGGAGACATTTTTCAGTCATAGCTTTTAGTGCCATTTTTCCCCAAAATGCATTTTTCTACTCTTTTGATAATTTAATACTTAATGTGATTTGTATAAACCCACGTTCCACAGCCTTAGTACTGAAAATAAAGTTTAAAATAAAAGATTTATTTTCATATTTGTATAGCATTCATATTTAGTAATGAGTCTATTTTATATGTGTGTACATATGTATATAATAAATTTCCTCTGTCTATATTAAGTAGGCCTTAGAGTATGGAATAATCATTTTATGCTTTTGATTTCTATGGTTCATATTTTCAAAACCTGGACTGAATTTCATTCATTTTTACTTTTCTTCAAACCGTTAATAATTATGCCATAAAATATACTTTTTATACCATTTCTTATCTCTGTGGAGCCACAAATATGCTGTATGTATTGCAAATTCAATAAAGCGTGCTTTAATTGGCCTTTCAAATGTTCCCTCCTGCTTGGCCCCCAGCTGTATAAATGCTCTTTTAATTCTAAGATGAGCCCTATATGAAAACATCTCCTAAGTGCACTTTGAAAGCAGTGTTCATTGCTTTTAGTCAAACTGTTGGAGGAGAGATCCCTTGGCAGTATTGATCTGGGTTCAAATAACCTGCTTGAACAGACTGTCGGTCAACAAGAACAACATGCGCATCAATTTGGTGGGTGATTACCACTCTGAAGACCTGGTTACTTTGATCTAGGCCCTTGTACCTCAACTTTTAGAAGTGATTTAATCCAACCATCCACTCTGTAGAGTCAATTCTCTCTGGAGGCAGGGTCATAAATAATAACAGACTGCTAGGAGCTGACAGTCACCAACTGAAGAATATACTTGAATGTGGGCATTATGGAAAGGGGCTGGAGGACCAGAAGAGATAGACTAGTTATATTTTGAGAACAAAGGATAATTAGTGGATCACCTCTGTGTACCATTGGTATCTATGAAACATCAAGAAAACTAGAGGAAGACCCCATCAAGTTGAGATGGAACCTATTGGTATGTATATGATTATCCTTTTTTTATATGGCATATGGATAACCATCACATAGTATGCAAGAGCATGGATGCATTGTTGAAGGGAGAGCACGCATTGGTGAAATTACAGATCCATCAATTTAGTGAAGAATTATGGCCTCTCACAAGTCTTCTCTTATCTAGGCTAAAATTCTCTAGCTCTTCAACCAATGTCCATTGTTTTATGTTTTCAAGTTCCCTCCTCTGTACAGTGTATTCCCTCTGGATTGTTAGATTTATCCTAAAATGGAATCCATTGTTAAACATAGTGCTCTACATAAAATCTAATTAGAACAGCGTACAGCAGTATTTTAATTTACCTTATTCTTGGTGTGTGTGTGTGTATTTGTATTTGGATCAGTGACTTCATCAATAGTCAGAGTTTATAGATAGAATTCTTGGCCTGGAGTCAAGAAGACTTATCTACCTGAGTTAAAATTCAGCCTTATATACTTGCTAACTGTGTGACCTTGGGCAAGTAACTTAAACATGTTTGCCTTGGTTTCCTCATCTGTAAAATGAACTGGAGAAGGAAATGGTGAACTGCTCCAGTATCTTTGCCAATGAAACCCCAAGTGGAGTCACAAAGAATCAGACACAATTGAAACCACTAAATAACAACTGAGACACTGAGAAGTTAAAATATTTGCCCAGGGTCCCCCAAATAGTATATGTTCCTGCCTCCTCTGAGGCCACATCTTTATCCACAATGTCTCTCTCTCTCATTTTGGATGTTATGCTACTATTAACGTAGTCTAGGATTGTGTTAGTGCATTTAGCTGCTGTCACACTGTTGACTCACGTTGAATTAGGAGTTAATGAAAATGCCTATGTGCTTTCCCTATGAACTATTGCATACCTACATAATCTACTTTTTTTGTTTATTTTAATCATAGAATAGAAGTTTACATCTATTCCTGTTAAATCTAAGTTTACACTCAGTCTGTGGTATCTTTTTAGATTTAACTTTTAACATCCAGTTTAGTAACCATCCCTTTTAACTTTGCATCCTCTGTAAATTTGGTAACACACAGATAAAAAGAATTGCACAGATAATCACCACCACTTGCATTATCTTTAAAAATACAAGGAAATGTATACAATAAAGCTAGTTAACTACACCAGGCAAGAAACAGGACAGCAGGTTTAAATTTAATGGTTAACTAGGCCTAAGTCATTTAGGCTTATGAAAAGAGTTTTAAACATCAGAAAACTCCATAAGATAAGAATGCTTTTTACCTGTGAACATGGACCACTGAACATACAATGGTCCCTTTCTAGGACAGTAATGTAACACTAGGTCCCTGCTGAGAATGAGGTTATCGAAAGTGAGGGTATCATTCCCCCACCTTTTTCCACTGAAAATCTAGAGAAGAGTACTTGCACAGGATATCCCAGGATGGGATTTTTTAAAAAAATCCCAACATTTCTATGTAACATATTTTGGTAATTTTTACTTATGTTTTCAGTTGATTGCTTCATTTCCCCTGAGACCAAATTGAAGCAAAGGGCAATTGTTAGTGGACTTCAATTTCATTTCTCAATAAAAACATTGAAATTGGAGTTTAGCATCTCCCTGCATATACTAGGTTATAAATTCTTTGAGAGAAGGGAGTCAGATATAAACAACTTAAGCTATTATAGGTAAATATTCTCCCCCAATACTGTGTTCACTATACTTGGTGCTTTTCTCCTCCTTTTCATCAAGTTGGTATGAGAACTGTCCATTGGTTGGGATGGCATCCATTGGTCTTTCTTGGCATAATTTGTCACCAGGGTGTTAGAGGGGACACAACAGTGAACTTGGAATCATGAAAGCAGGGTTTGAATCTTGGCTTTGATTTTTACCAGCTTTGTTACCATGGAAAGTCAAATTCCTTTCCAGTTTCCTCTTCTGTGAAATGGGGATAATAATAATTATACTACACATGTGACGTTGTTGAAGGGAAGCATGTTGTAACTGCTAAAACGCTATATATATATGTACCTACATTTTGCATAATCAACAATAAAGTCTCGTGGCATGGCCATAAGGAAGTGCTATTGCAAAATAAAATCTGATGCACATTTAATTATATGCATAATCATTGTGCCAGATGACGATTAGAAGGTAGCAATCTGCTTGTGGAACTGACTGCATTTTGTTTTATGTGGCCAAACCATTTTTTTCTCCAAGAATTATAGAGTTTAGAGTTGGAAATTATATTTGACGTGATTTAATCCAACTTCCCATCCTATGTAGAAAGAGTCAGCTTGATGTCTTGAAAGAAAACCTGAATTTGAAATAGAAGACCCAAGTTTGAATCCTGGTCTTGCTACTTGCGTTATGTGTGACCTTGGGATTGTTAATTCATTTCTCTGGACCTCTGTTTTCTCATTTGTAAAATGACAGGTTGGATTAGATGAGCTTGCACATTCCGCATTTCACACTGTTTGATGGGTGGCCTGTTTTGAGAAAATTCTTTCTTATATTGAGTTGAACATTTCTTCTTTCCACCAATGGTTCTTAGTCTTCCTTTGTAGAGTAGGACAAAGCTCTGGTCCCTCTTTAACATAACAATGCTTTTCTTAGTAATTTCATCTTCCAGGTAAAATACATCTAGTTTCTTTACTATGATGTGGTGAGAATCCCCTTACCATCTTAGTCATCTTTTTATAAATATACCTTATGTCTCTCAAAATGTGGCATCTAAAATTGAATTTGGTATTACAGGTGTAATCTAACAGTTTCTCCTACTATTGTTTAAATTCTAATTCTCATTACACACCTGCATACAAACACAACCATTAATAACAAGGATACTGGTTGTGGTGTGGGGAAGAGAAAATAATGAGGGAAAAGGACCCAGAGCAAGCAATAATAATAATAGCTAACATACATCTCATTTTAAGGTTTGTAAAGCACATCACATATATTCTCTCATCTGATCCTTACAACAATCCTGTGAAGTAGATGCTATTATTATTCCGTTCTTACAGATGAGGAAACTGAGCTTGGGAGAAGTTAAGCAGTTTGCTGAGTAAGCTCCTGGTCCAGCACACTCTTACCATGCTACCAAAAGCAGGGAGGTTGAGAGATCAGAACACAAACATCAATTACATTACAATTTTAATTAATGCCAGCCTAGTTTATCATTTACCTTCTGTGTTTGGGACAAACCAAAGAGATATACAGAATTATAGCAGGAAGGCATGGAGTGGTGCTAAGAGTTATTATGTGCAGGAGAGTTGGCACAGATTAGGGCTGAAGGGAGTCAAAACAATGCAAATGTGTAGTTATTCCTCTGTTACCTCTGTTACCATGCGTCCTTTTACTGAGTGGCATTCATTCTGTCTCATTTATGGAAATCACACTTTTGTCAGTGCTATATAATGTGACACCACGTTTCGTGACATTCCTCTTCCTACCAAACTCTGTGGGAGTAACACAATAGCTGTTGTTTTATGCGACTCAAAGGTAAATCTGGTAGGATAATGGAATATGAGTGGTGAGCACAGGCTACAGTTCTCATTGACTTTATTGCTCAGCCAAGTTGAAGGTTAAGTGCTAAGCTATGTATTGCTGCAAGAAAGGATACATAAACCTTGAGAGTTTCACTTAGGAGCTGACTTCAGTAGGATTGGAAGTCCTGGAGGATACAAATGGCTTAAAATGGACAGAGCTCTATTTACTGTGACCCTTGTAGCTTATACAAGCTTAAATTTGGGACTTTAAAGCTAGCATCATTTGAAAAGTTCTTTGAAACTCCCTAAGCCAATATCCAGGGCTATTTCTAAACTTACAGTTGAAGAATCCCCTACCTATCAAGGTTTAGCTACAATGGAGAGTTTCTCAGAAGAGCTTTACCTAGGGTGGTGTCACTAGTACTTTGCCCCAGGACGCTGAATTAAGAGGGTGCTGACATAATTTGTAATCCTTTAGTAGCATGGAATCCATGGACACCTTATTAGCAAGAAGATTCAGTTAAAATAGGGAAACTATCTTCCTATAGACTGAGAAGCAACCTGTTATAGTGTAGAATAGAACAATGGCCTCAAAGTCAGGAAAACCTGGGTTCAAATCTCACCCCTGACACTGGCTGGGTGACTCCGGAGAAGTTACTTAATGACTCACTATCCTAGGTAACTCTCTAAGAGTACTAAATGCAAAGAAGATGCTGATTTGTTGTCACAGAGAGATTTTCCTTATTGGGACTTCCTGAAACCAATGAAATCACAAGCCTGAACTTTCACTTATCCGCAAAAGGAAAGCTACCAGGTGGTGATGGTGAGCTCCTTACCAACATTATTTACTCCCCTTTCTCCTCTATTCTTATTCACTCTAGGGTAATTCATACCATCAGCCTTGGCTTGGTTTGTGGTATTTGTAAAGAATCCTGGCTGTGACTCTGT